TCCTTCTATCCTGGTTTTGTTCCATGTGGTCTAGGTAAACTATCCTCAGCCAGCACAGTGTGAGCGCATCATTGGACACATTCTTGCTGTGCTAAAGGCACTAAGATCATAAATAAAGTACTGTAACAGTGCACTTTCTGCATGGTCTGTTCTCTTTCCTATTTTGGGCTTTACCAGCAACACAGATTGCATCATAGGCACTCCCCACCCAAGGTCCGCCCACCCCCACCCAATTACATACCTCCCATTGGACAAACTTACATGGCAGTAATTCTGTTATTAACTCTAGCAATAGGAAAGTTATTAATTAAATACAAGAGAAGCATCTTAGAGCTATGATAATAAGGTTAATATGGTGTAATAAGAAAACTGTCCAAATGCTACGGTCTTTTCCTCAAAATAATCTATAAAATCACTTCTCCCTTTAATATTCCACAAGAGCGATCTCAGTGATGTGCACAAAATGGTGAATTTGCTTAGCATTTTACAAATCTGCAAGTTTCACAAAAGAGTTGGAAGTTGTGATTTATGCCTTAGAAGTATTGGCAAATGTTTTTCTTACTGCTTCTTCACAATCTGCAAGGATTGAATGCAGGTTACTCTTCCTGTACTACTTTTTATCCTTTTTACCACCCCAGCCCTTTTGGCACACAAACCAGGATCTAGGCATTTTCTGGATTCTGTTTGTATAGGGCTACTGATTCATTGGTGTGTCTAGAGTACCTGGTAGGGGACTCTTCACCATCTCAATGTGTGGAGTGCAGGATAGTCAGGCATACATTCAGTCAGGCCTTTTCAGTCCCTCAAGGTTCAGTTCTTGGTCCCCTTTTATCGCTCTATACTGCCTATCTTGGCAAACTCATTCATTTGTTTGGATTCTGCTTCCACCTGTACTCTGATGACACCCAGATATATCTCTCCTTCCCTGACCTCTCCCCTGCTGTCCTACAACGTGTCACTAATTTCCTTTCTTTCATCTCTGACTGGATGTCTTCCTGCTTTTTGAAACTCAAGCTCTCTAAAACTGAACTCCTTGTCTTTCCTCCTCCTAATACTGATCCCCTTCTCATCAGTCCATCCATGCAAGCACGTTGTATTGGCGTTATACTTGATTCTGGCCTCACCTTTGAACCTCACATCCAGTCTGTCACCAAATCCTCTTCTAATTGGCCTTCCCAGAAGCCGCATTGCCCCGCTACAATCTGTAATGAATGCTGCCTGTAGACTGATTTTCCTCTCCAGTAGCTCCTCTCACACTTCACCCCTCTGTCAGTCCTTACATTGGCTTCCTGTATCTAATAGGAGTCAATTCTAAGTACTAATCCACACTTATAAAGCACTGAATGATTCTACCCTCTCCTATATCTTATCACTGATCCATAAGTATGCCCCATCTCGGTCTTTCTGTTCTGTCGATGATCTTCTCCTGTCTGCTGCTCGCACCCAGACGGCCAACTCATGCTTGCAGGACTTCTCGCAGGCAGCTTCCTTCCTTTGAAA